CCAAATTTTTAATTGCTAACACATATATTTCCAAATAAAATCGAATAATGTTGTTTTCAATCTAAAATGTATTTAGTTATATATTAACTATTGTTAAAATATATTTTGAAAAATTGTAATACATGTTCATAGATTTCAAAAATAAATATGAAAACTTATTTATTTTACTTTTGTAAAATTATATATAGAGAATTTGTATGTAGATTTGATTTGTGAGATTTAATATTAAATTTTGAAATAATTGTTTTTGGTAAGTTTATAAATATTCAAATTTGTTTGGCAATTCGATAAGAGTAATGGTAGGTAATATTTTGAAATAAATGTGTTTTGGTAATGAATATAAAAGAATTAAATAAAATGGTAAAAAAGGTGTGTGGATAGTAAAATATTAGAAGATAATTATTATAGGATTTTAGTTATTGAAAAAAAGTTTAGAAAATTGGTGAGATTGATATATAAGCAAAAATAGCTTAATCTTTTAATATATAGAAGATAACCAACCTAATTAGTAATTAACTCATTTATAATATTATAATTAGTCGTTAACACCTCGTACTTAAATATCTAGACCAAACTCAACCAGTCGAGAGAGAGAGAGAAGAAACAGAACAACAATGGCGAAACTAAAATTTTCCAACATTGTTCTCTCCCTGCTACTCTCTTTGTTGCTCTTCAACTTTATCATCGATCTTGAAGCTTCATATCAAGATCTTAACCAGCCGTACCGGACTGGTTATCACTTTCAACCTCCCAAAAATTGGATGAACGGTATGTACCGTACCATACCGATCTTGATTTGATTTCTCTCTCTATATATAATTAACACTGTTTTTGTTCTTTGTTGATTTCGTTATGTTCGATGAAAATCTATTTCGACAAAAAATTTCCAGATCCTAATGGTTAGTTTCACTTTATTAGAAATTTAATTCATATTTCTAAAAAAATAATATTTAAATCAATATACAAAAAAATACGTATTTTTTTCATTTTGGTAGGACCAATGATATACAAAGGAATATACCATCTTTTTTACCAATATAACCCATACGGTGCCGTTTGGGATGCAAGAATCGTGTGGGGTCATTCCACGTCAGTTGACTTAGTCAACTGGACCCCACAACCTCCAGCTTTCAGTCCATCTCAACCGTCAGATATCAACGGTTGTTGGTCAGGCTCCGTTACGATTCTACCAAACGACACACCTGTGATCCTCTACACCGGCATTGACCAAAACAAAAGTCAAGTCCAAAACGTCGTCGTTCCGGTTAACGTTTCTGATCCATTTCTCATAGAATGGTCAAAACCGCCGTTAAATCCTCTGATGGTACCAAACGCCGTTAACGGAATTAACCCAACCCGGTTCAGAGATCCGACCACCGCTTGGCTCGGACACGACGGAGAATGGCGAGTTATTGTCGGAAGTTCGACGGACGATCGTCGAGGATTAGCGATTCTTTACAAAAGCAGAGATTTCTTCAATTGGACGCAATCGATTAAGCCTCTGCATTACCAAGACTTAACCGGAATGTGGGAATGTCCTGATTTTTTCCCGGTTTCGAGAACCGGATCCGACGGTGTTGAAACGTCGTCGTTTGGTGGTGACGTTAAGCACGTGCTTAAAGTGAGTTTGTTTGAGACATTACATGATTATTACACTATTGGGAGTTATGATCGTGAGAAAGATGTTTACGTACCGGATCTAGGGTTTGTGCAAAATGGATCAGCTCCGAGGTTAGATTACGGTAAATTTTACGCGTCGAAAACGTTTTTCGATGATGTTAAGAAACGTAGAATCTTGTGGGGTTGGGTTAATGAATCTTCTCCGGCTAAAGATGATATTGAGAAGGGTTGGTCTGGTCTTCAGGTACATTTTCAATTTAGCCCTAGATTAGTTTGTTATAATCTGATCGAGAGGAATCGAATTAACCGGTTTATTTTCTTGATTCGATAGTCATTTCCGAGGAAAATGTGGCTCGATGAATCGGGAAAGGAGCTGCTACAATGGCCTATTGAAGAGATTGAGACATTGCGTGGGACACAAGTCAATTGGCATAATAAAGTTATTAAGGCAGAATCTAGTCTCCAAATTCATGGTGTTACTCCAGCACAAGTAGGAATCAATCTTTAACCTCTACGAGTTCGCATCTAATAGGAACCGATATCGAATTTGACCTAAAACTACTTTAGTTTTTGTTGTGGTTTTACTAAATTTCTTTGTTATTGAGCAGGCAGATGTTGACGTAATGTTCAAGGTAAAGGACTTGGAAAAAGCGGATGTGATTGAACCGAGTTGGACCGACCCTCAAAAGATATGTAGTCAAGGAGATTTATTGGTTAAGTCCGGTATAGGGCCATTTGGTTTGATGGTTTTGACATCCAATGACATGGAAGAGTACACATTGGTTTACTTCAGAATCTTCAAGTCAAATGATACAAATACGAATACTAAGTACGTGGTCTTGATGTGCAGTGACCAAAGCAGGTATATTATGTCTCTATACAACAATTTAAAAAAACGTTTAGATACATTTCATAGTTACGTCTAACTAAAATAACGATTTCTTTGGTACTCTCAAAGATCTTCGTTGAATGAAGAAAACGATAAAGCAGCATTTGGTGCTTTTGTGGCGATAGATCCTTCTCACCAAACACTTTCTCTTAGAACTTTGGTAAGTTTTAAGTAATTTAAAATATATTCCTTAAATTCATGTCTTGTATCAAGTGATTATATTTCAATTAGAGATGTTGCATTAATCCGGTCCGGTTTGGTTAGTTCACTCAATTTTGTGGGTTTGGTTTGATTCTAAACCGATCATATGGTAGTGCGGGTTTGATGGTTTTCGCCTCTAAACCGATCATAGGCTTGGTTTGAACCGGATATGTCCACATATTTTTGGCTTACCCAAATATTTGCAAAATTCAATAGATGCATTTACTTATCAATTATGGATTTGGTGAGTTTTAATTGTTGTTTTTTTGTAGATTGATCATTCGATAGTGGAGAGTTATGGTGGAGGAGGCAGAGTATGTATAACCTCAAGAGTGTATCCAAAATTAGCGATTGGAGAAAATGCAAATCTATTTGTCTTCAATAAAGGAACACAAAGTGTTGATGTCTTGAGCCTAAGTGCTTGGAGCTTAAAGTCTGCCCAGATCAATAAAGAGTCAATGTCGCTACCATTTATTGAGTGATGATTCACACTCACTTAATCAGTCTTGATTATTGAGTGGAAATTTTTTTTTCATTTACGGAAACACAAGATAAAATAAGTGAGAATATCATGATATATTAACATTCTTGAAACTTTTACTGCTCAATTTTAGTTCCAACGTATGGGAATTTCTTTTTTAATTGTGTATGTTATTTTTACGCAGAGATTATACAATGTTTTCTTTGACTTTATGCTATTATTCTTGTTTTTGTATTTGTATATTTGTTCTATAAATAACTTCTTCTTAAAATGAATCAAAAAACAAAAAGAAACATGTTATAAAAATATAAATTTTCTAGTTAACAACAATATTATTTTTTCTTACAACGTTTTTCTTTTGAAAGAATAAACACATTTACTATTATGTTAGACCGAGGAAAACAACGAACAACGAAGATAACATAGTATTTATCATTCTCTTACCGCGTAAAACTTACTTATTAAAGAAAGTAGTGTGTAATTTCACTTATTCTTTTATATGGTGTCTGTTTAAAAAAATAAGTTTAGAAATGATTTTCACTTATTCAAGAAGGTTTTCCTAAACAAATGAGAAACCTTTCCCAAAAATAAGTTTTGAAAAGGTTTTCACTTGTTTAGGAAAGCCTTCCTAAACACCTTCCTAAACAAGTTGAAAACCTTCTTAAAAATAAGTTTAAAAAAGGTTTTTCACTTGTTTAGGAAGGTCTTCTTAAACACTTTCTTAAAAAAATGAGAAACCTTCTCAAAAATAAGTTTAGGAATGATTTTCACTTGTTTAGGAAGGCCTTCCTAAACACCTTCCTAAACAAATAAGAAACCTTCCCAAAWATAAGTTTAYGAAGGATTTTCACTTMTTTAGGAAGGTCTTCCTAAACACCTTCATTTGTTTAGGAAGATGTTTATGAAGACTTTCTAAACAAGTGAAAATCATTTCTAAATTTATTTTTGGGAAGGTTTCTTATTTGTTTAGGAAGATGTTTACGAAGGTCTTCCTAAATAAGTGAAAATTCTTCCTAAAATTATTTTTGGGAAGGTTTATTATTTGTTTAGGAAGGTGTTTAGGAAAACATTCATAAACAAGTGAAAATTATTCCTAAACTTATTTTTGAGAAGGTTTCTCATTTGTTTAGGAAGACCTTCTTAAACAAGTGAAAATCCTTCATAAACTTATTTTTGGGAAGGTCTCTCATTTGTTTAGGAATGTGTTTAGGAAGGTCTCCTTAAATAAGTGAAAATCCTTCCTAAACTTATTTTTAGGAAAGATTTTCACTTGTTTAAGAAGGTCTTCATTTAATTTTCGCACTACAGCTAACAAAAGAAGAATAATAATAATAAGGTCATAATTATTGCGTTTATATCATTTACCGTATACATACACAAAGAGTAGTAGTGGCATAGGTGAGTATCCGCGAGTACGCGCGGATTTTGATTAGTAAATTAGAGAATTATAATTTATAATGTCTTACTATAAACATACTTGATTATGTATTTTATGGTCATTTGACACTCATGGATAGCATATCTCATCTCATTGTTGTTTATCTTTGATCTTATAATAATAAATTTTTTGACTGACATTGCAAAAATAAAAGAGCATTCACTACGAAAAAAGGTAATATTGTGACAAAAAATTGTGACAAATCTAGTTTGTCATAATATTGCGAGGATTTACATACAAATTTGTGACAAACTTGTTTAGTCATAAATTCGTTAGTATTTAGTCATAATAATGTGACGTAGTTGAAGGTAACAATTTTCCGTCTCAAATCGTGTCGAATTTATTACAAAATACGGAGTCACAAAGAATGTGACGAGCTTGTGACTAAATCTAGTAATTAAATTATACTATTTTGTGACTAAACTTTTATAATTACAAATCTTTTGTGACTACTTCGTCACAGTTAGTCACTGTTTTAATGACTTTTGCGTTTGGTCATAAAACGTGACATATTTGTTACTATTTTGACACAAAGTTATAAAAAAAAAAGATGAATTAAAAAGTCATTGGTAAAATAAGAGAATAGATTAATAACATAATAAATAATTACTTCAGTGATTTTATAAAAATAATTCTTTTCAAAATTAATAAAAATAAGTTAAGCAAACTAAAATCTCGAAAGCAAATTAAACTACATGATTCGATATGCCACTCATTCCTAATTATGTCAGTCGAGGATATATGTTTTAACAAAATTGATACTATAAAATTATAACAATTTAATAATTGATGCATATACTAAGTTTTGTTAATGTCTATTGGCTCATTTTGGTGTAT